TCTAGAGCACGCCCATGCATTCTTCCTGCAGGCACATATCTTTGCTTTCTTTCTCCTAAGCTCTAAGGGTCCCCACCAGACTTGGAAACAGAGAGCAGAGGCAGCAGTAGCTTACCGTTGGCTAACCCCCTGAACCTCTCTCTCTTAGTGCCCGCCCCCTTTTTTTGCCTCTGTACTTGTTTCCCAAGTCCATGCAGCTCAGCTGGCTCACTTCTGCCTCTGTGACTTTCTTTCTAAAAGGTCAAGACAGCTCTCTGAGCAGCCCACTCGAATCTTCTCTTCGAATGTACTGTCACTTTGCATGCTAAATAAACTTCCTCTTGCGTTAGAGTTCTTGGCTCTGAATTCTTTCTTTACTAAAGCGTCGAGAATCAACACTGCCAGTAACAAAACCATTGGTCTTTTCAGAAAGCAATTTTTCAAGAGGATAACTAAGGAATCCGAATCTTGCATTAGTATTAAATTTTAAAACAAATGTCTAGAATCAAAGTAGACAAGGCACACTTTACATAAAATTTATCATTTATTTAGGCAAAAAAGAAATTCCAAAAACAAAAATCTTTACACACAACATTAATATCTAAGTGATGTCCTGGTTTAAAATATAGCATGATTCACGTACAGAACACTGCTATTTATCTGGCCACAGTGAGAACAGTGCCTCCAGTCCAGATAACTGAGAGCCTTTGAAATGTATACACATTATACTTTCCAATGATTTCCTTTGAAAGGAGTTAAACTCTTCCACTAGAATTCAAGCAAAAGATAGCTTTTTTTTTTTTCACACTCACAAGTCAGAATTTGATAGTGGGAATTACATAAAAGTCAGGAATTTAAAATTTTTATTCTTGCAGATTATCTGAAAGTATAAATCTTGATATAACATCCTCCCATTTTTAAAGGGAAAAAACACTCAATTTCTTGCTTTTATGAAAGTGTGTTTAGCTTCCACTAGCTAAGTAGCTTTTTGCTTCTAGGCTGATTAAAATAAGCTTAAAAGAATCCAATGTGAACAGTTTTCCCAAAAGTGAGTCCCAAACTGAGCACATACTATTAATGAACCAGATCTATAATTTCCCATTTAATGATTGTGATAAGTTTAGATTTTCTAAATATTCTTAATAGACATTCTGGCTAGTTATAAAGTTAGGTTGTGCTGTCAAAAAGAGTTCTGCTTCATCCAGAGAAAGGAGGAACAGCATTGATTTTTCTCATAGTTTACCCCAAAAAATTGGGGGAGGAAAGAAATAGGCAGAGGAAGCTCTTTCTTAGGCTGCCAATCAGTTAACATAGAATGTCTTAGGTTAAGATTTGGAAACTGGCCTGGGCTGGGTAGCTCACTTGGTTAGAGCATCATTCCAATACGCCAAGGTTGCAGGTTTGATCACCGGTCAGGAATCAATCAATAAATGCATAAATAAGTGAAACAACAAACTGATGTTTTTCTCTTTCCTCTTTCCTCTCTCTCTAAGATGAATAAAACAAAACAAAAAAATTAAAAAGATCTGGAAACCAAAGAATGTATAATTAGGAATATACCATGTCATGCAAAGACTTTGAAATACTAAAAAAATATAAAGTAATTACTCATTCAGCAAATGTTCCCATCATACTGCTATTCTCATCACTGGATAAAGGTTGGATTTGCATTATTCCTAAAATAATCAGTTCATGAGTTAACAATAAAAATTAAAAATATGCCAACACATTTGGCACAAATGGTAAAGATTAAATATCCAATATCCACACAGTCATTTGAAACTGCTACAATGGATTTGAGAGGGAAACCGTAAGTTTGCAAATCTTTCTATAATCTGTCTTAAACTACTACCCTGATGCTCTAACCACAAAGTCCCAAATAAGTAACATGCAGATAAAACTGCCCACATCAACTGACAATGTGATAGTGCCTTTAACTTATACCGTTAGTTTTAATAATACTGTTTATCCCAAGATAAAAGTTGCACAATAACCAAAGAACATAAACATACCATTAGAGGGCAGCAGAGGGATAGGTTTTCAACAAAAAAAATTTTTCCCAGCTGCTCATGACCTCTTTTCAAACTTGAGTACATTGTTCTATGGAAGGGAAGGGACGGTGGGTGAATGTTATCTATGCATTTGGAAACATTAAGCCAAAACCATGATTCCTTAATCTGACCTTCCCTAATTTAAAAAATAAAATGTTTTCATTAAAATGTGGTCCAGCCACAGCTGGTTTTGCTCAGTGGATAGAGCCATTGGCCTGTGGACTGAAGGGACCCAGGTTCAATTCCCCTCAAGGGCATATGCCTGGGTTGCAGGCTTGATCCCCAGTAGGGGGCATGCAGGAGGCAGCCGATCAATGATTCTCTCATCACTGATATTTCTATTTCTCTCTCCCTTTCCCTTTCCTTCTGATATCAATAAAATTATTCTTAAAAAATGTGGTCCAAAGTGCTCGAAGATGGCCCAATGCCATCTTACACATGGTATAATAATAATAATAAACACAGCCAAATGAAAGTGAATGGGGAGAAAAAGGGCCAACTCAAAAGGTTCCATTTAGTAAAAGCAACTTCGTAGGCTGAATATATGGGATTAATGTGTTTACACATGAATCTCTAATTCCTGGGCTGTTTGTAATCAAAAGATAAAAAATTAAATTTCCACTGCAGCTTTATGGTGATTCATTGCAATCATGGGTAATTCACTTAAGTTGATTGATGCCACTAAACAGAATTTCTGTTCGAGTGAGAAGTAGTAATATTTAAGTTAATTTCTGTAATTGTGGATCTGATATGATTTTTTAAATCTGCAACTAAGGTCAGTAGCCACTGAGGCCTTGGCCAGAAGGTAAAATAACCATTTATTACTACCTGATTTATGTTTTTTTCAAATGCAAGAAGGAAAAAAAATGATTTTTTAGAGTTCAAAGGTCACAGCCAAACTTACTTGATGGAAAAATGAGATGGCTTAATTTTTGCTTTAATTTCAGACTGCTCTTGTTTTACTTAACCACCAACATGCATCATTATACTCTAAAAAGTCTAATTCCATTTCCTGTTGATCTCTTGCTGTTGCTTGTGGACTGCTCTACTGTTATTTTACAATATCTGAGTGCATCTTGATTTGAGCAATGAGTGGTTCAATCCTAGTCTTAATTGTGCTTAAAATAGTACTTTTTAGCCACTGAAGAAGTAACCCTTGAAGGCACCAAGTACTGTTAAATTCTGTTATACAAATGCGAAAGGAAGGCCTAATAGATTCTAACTGTAGAGAGAGGCCAGTTATGCCTTATAATTTCAATATTTTAGCCAGATTCAAGACCTTAGAAACAATTCTGTGCCTTAATTAGATATACCATTTTAAGAACCATCCCAACAATAAAGGCACTACAATTTTTATATATTTGGGAAGTGATCAATTATTTTGCTTTTAAGACTCAGAGGTATTTGGCCATCACCAGTGCTCAAAGTAGTAAATTAAAATATCTGAGTCTTCATCTATCAACAAGTTATTCTGTATAAGAAGAGATTTATTATTTTCTGTACATCTTTAGCCATTCCTGAAAACAACTTGTTAGGAAAAATCTAGGATTAGCCTATAAGGAACATGCACTGTCTTGAACAGAATATAAGAGAAACTTAAAGCCAAGCTTTTACAAATAGCCTTTCCCTTTACTACACAAGCTGGGAGACTTGGAAGTGGTCAACATAGCTAGTAGCAACTTCCAAGATACTGTAGGCTGTCCTATTTTCTACATTTTGCCTTAGATATTAAAATTCAGAAAAAAAGGGGAAAATTTTAAAAGAATTTTCTATTTCCTCTGAAATAGGCTTATTCTATACAAATTTATCCTGTATCTATAACATTTTTTAAACCAATTAAGTCAGAATTAACACACAATTTTACTTGTATTTTAATGTTTTTAAAGACCTGTTAGTTTAAATTTTTATCCCTGTGGAGGAGTACCAAATAATTCAAGTATGATTACTGTAATAGTGGTATGAAATGTGAATGTCAAAAATGTTATCAGCATACTAGTAAACTGGCTCCTTTCTAAATAAAAATGCTTCTGAATAATCACCATAATTTAAATATACCATTTAAAATCTCTACTGAAAACATTTGGTCATCTATGGAAAAAAAATGCATTCATATGAGATTGTGATTAACTTTAATCACAAAGTAAAATTTTAAATGGGAATTAAGTTTTTTGGTGACTTGCGCGTCCCAACTGCTGTTATTGATATAATGATAACTGATTCTTTACCATACTATAACAGGTATCTTAAAGGAAAGGCAATTGTATAAAAAAAATAATCAATCAAAAAGTATTTTCTCTTATGCACTGCACCTAGAATCACTATATTTAACAACAGTCTAATTCTACTTGTTCATTTTGGCAGTACAATGTGGACATCTTTCTCCAACATAAAAACATTAAGATACATGTATTTTGAAACAAAAGAAATTTAACTTCTTGTGGCAAAATTTACTGTTAAACTTGTATTTTAACTGAGCAGGTAACATCATGTGTAGTCTCTCTATTCCACTGAACAAAATTACTTTGAAATAGAGGGACAAGAATGGTCAGTTTTAACAAGACATTTTAAAAATTCACATTTTCACAACGATGTGACCTATCGATTCAGAGAGTTAATCTTTAACACAGAATGCTGTAACATTTTACACTGTGATGCCTGTGGATTATTTCTAGAGAATTTGTGTAGGAAGCAGAAGCCCATGCTTCCAGGAATAATTATGAAGAAGCTACTGCTCATTGCCCCAGGAGATGTGGACTCCAGAAGCATAGCCTGCTCCACTTTAAAAACTATACCATAAGACCAGACCTTTTCCCAGTTCCTAAACTCTGTTATCCCTTAATAGTTTTTCTTCTTAATATATTTTTCTTCCAGCTATCCAAGCTCCAGCCAGTGAGTAGCTTTCCCAAGGAGAGGGTTCAGATTTCCATTCTTTCACACTAAGGAGGGCATCTGATAAAAGGTACACAGACAGAGAATAAAGGCATTTTATACAGAGCATTATAAAATTTACAACTGAAGCAGTTTAAGAAATCAGGTTAACAGCTTATCTGAAGCTGCAAACTGATTAGAAGGGTCTTTAAGGTCAGAAAAGTCTGGCCTAAGGGTTCGTGCAAACTTTATCATAAAACTAGAATTTCAAGCACAGGTAAGTTCAAACACTGAAAGATGTAGAAATTTTTCTAAAAAGCAATGATGAAGGAAGAGACCCTTCTTACCTCATAAGTTAAAAATCACAAAACAAATTAGAGACTGTTCACATGGGCAGTACTGTACATCATCAATCCCAAACTGATCTAAGCCTCTTGTTATGGAAACCCCAAAACATCACAGACGATATCCTAATGAACCTATCACAAAAAGGATTCCTGTGATTCAATTATCCAATTGCCTATGGCTATCAATTTAGTCTGGCCTGGGGCTGCTTTTTACAGGGAGGTGGTCTCCCATGGCGTACAATGTGTTTTTCTAAAGTGTCCAGAATGGCCACAGCAATCTGCTGGACATGGGGATCAGTCTGTTCATGTTCTTTGATGTTGTATAAATGCTGCAATCCTCCTTCTTCAATCAACATGCTGCAATACCTTGAGGCTGAAAGAAAACAAGAGAAAGAACTTTTCTTAAAACACTTAAAAATTATTCCACACACAAAAAAATAATTTTCACTTAAATTTAGCTCTTTTGTTATTGACCGCTAACATATGCTACAGATTGATAAATACCTTTGTAATGATGTTATGTCTACACTGCAAGTTCCCACACATAAATAATATAGGTACCATACATATATTTACATTTACATTTTAATCATAACCTTAAGGCATAGACAATCTGGAAAAGAAAATTTATTTGACCCCAAATCACAAGATAGGTGCTTGTTACACTTTTATGCATTTCCTGCTCTTTAATATATTCTTTTATTTTATTATATTTTTCAATTACAGTTTACATTCAATATTACTTTGTTTTAGTTTCAGGCGTACAGCATAGTGGTTAGAAAATCATATACTTTGCAAAGTGTTTGCCCAATATTTCCAGTACCTATCTGACATCATACAGTTATTACAATATCATTGACTGTATTTCCTATATGACTATACATTCCCATGGCTACTTTTATAATTGCCAATTTGTACTTCTCAATCCTTTAACCTTCTCCACCAGTACCTCCACCCCCACCCTCATTTCTGTTTTTTGTTGTTTTTTAAATAATATATTTTATTGATTTTTTTTTTTTTTACAGAGAGGAAGGGAGAGGGATAGAGAGTTAGAAACATCGATCAGCTGCCTCCTGCACACCCCCTACTTGGGATATGCCCCCAACCAAGGTACATGCCCTTGACCGGAATCGAACCCGGGACCCTTGAATCCGCAGGCCGAAGCTCTATCCACTGAGCCAAACCGGTTAAGGCTCATTTCTGTTTTTTAAAAATTTAATGGCACTGATATTGTACATGCAATTTTATTTCTGCATTTTTATTTTAAAATATTTTTTGTACACACAACTTTTTAAAAAAATATATTTTATTGACTTTTTACAGAGAGGAAGGGAGAGGGATAGGAGTTAGAAACATCGGTGAGAGAGAAACATCGATCAACTGCCTCCTGCACACCTCCCACTGGGGATGTGCCCGCAACCTAGGTACATGCCCTTGACCAGAATCAAACCTGGGACCCTTCAGTCCCCAGGCCAACGCTCTATCCACTGAGCCAAACTGGTTAGGGCTACACACAACTTTTAAAGCCTTATTAGTTTTAGTCATTTATTAAAGTATAATTTACACACAATAAAACAAAATTAAAGTTAATACACATTTTGATGAGTTTTGCAAATGTATATACACCTGTGTTATAATTCTTGTTTAAGTTTTTTGGTGGACTTTCCATTTCATTGATTTTGAGGAAATATCTGGAATGCTGGGCAAATGAAGTCACCAAATTATTTTCTAAAGTGGTTATATATTTTTCCATCCCATTAGCAAAGAATGTGAAAGAGTTATTTTGCATCCTCGCCAACACTTGTCCTTGTCCATCATTTTGATTATAGGCAGCCTTCCTAGTATGTGTGAACTGGTATCTCACTGTGACTTTAATTTATAGTTCTCTAATGACTGATGATGTTGGTCCTGATTTTTAATTAAAAAAACACACACTACACTTTATTATTAGTGTTTCTATGTGTTTCTTGTGCAATGTTTAAAGTAACTTATGGAATGAACTTATATTAATAAATAACTGACAAAACAGTTGATTCATAATCTTTATTTATTTATTTATTTAATATATTTTATTGATTTTTTACAGAGAGGAAGGGAGAGGGATAGAGAGTTAGAAACATCGATCAGCTGCCTTTTGCACGTCCCCTACTGGGGATGTGCCCGCAACCAAGGTACATGCCCTTGACCAGAATTGAACCTGGGACCCTTCAGTTCACAGGCCGACGCTCTATCCACTGAGCCAAACAGGTTAGGGCTGATTCATAATCTTTAAAAAAGAGATATCAAACCTGATCTAGGCCTGGCTGGTGTGACTCAGTTGGTTGAGCGTCATCCTGTGCACTGAAAGGTCACCTATTTGATTCCTGGTTAGGGCACATGTACAGGTTTTGGGCTCAATCCCCATTTGCGTGCGTGCAGGAGGCAGCCCACTGATCTCGATCGATCTCTCTCTCTCTCTCTCTCTCTCTCTCTCTCTCTCTCTCTCCCCCCTATCTCTCTCTCTAAAAACTTATAAAACAAAAAACAAAACCCTTATCTAAATGCCTTGCTTCTCCACAGACTATGGGTGCAGAGAGCAACATCTTGAATGGGGAAATTTTGTGTAGATGAGGACTAGGTACTGGAATGTACCATAAATATTGGATCTCCTTAAGACATTTTGCTCAAAAAATGAACCCACTGTAGGCTCCTAATTTTTACTATTATTTTTTTAAATGTCTGGGTTGTTGAATAAAACTTAGGTTCTCTTGACCCTTTTATTTATTTATTTTTAAATGTATTTTTATTGATTTCAGAAAGAAAGGGAGAGGGAGAGAGAAATAGAAACATCAATGATGCGAATCATTGATCTGCTGCCTCCTGCATGCCCCCTACTGGGGATTGAGCCCGAAACCCGGGCATGTGCCCTTGACCAGAATCAAACCTGGGACCCTTCAGTCTGCAGGCAGACACTCTATCCACTGAGCCAAATCCGTTAGAGTGGCTCCTAACTTTTATATTCCATGTTGGAACAATTTAAGTCTCATTCACTATTATCATTCAGTATCTACTATTGGCAAGCTCATTCTGAAAAAATAAATGTACTTTATAAACTAAGATTCTCTTATATAGTATTTTAAAAAGTCTATGTCCTTAAAAATCATTTAAATACACAATTCAGAAATGGCTTTTCTATGTAAGGAGAATTTTCCTTGAGAAAGAAAAACATAGTTTCTTTTTGGTACATACGATTCTTGCTGCAGACATGTTGCATGGCCCAAACTGCCCATAGCTGGACTCCTGGTGTTGTGAAACAGCCAAGTAATGGAAAAAATGGATTAAAGGACCTAAAAGTACAAAAGAAAAGAAGAAAAGTTACATCCTCTACTTAGTGTCATTTTCTTTCTTTTTAAAAAATTCCTCACCTGAGGATAAGTTTATTTATTTTAGAGAGAAAGGGAGCGAGAAGGGGGGGGGGGAGGGAGGGAGAGAGAGAGAGAGAGAGAGAGAGAGAGAGAGAGAGAGAGAGAGAGAGAGAGAGAGAGAAACATGGATGTAAGAGAGAAACATCAATCGGTTGCCTCCTGTTCACACCTTGACTGGGGGAATGAACCTGCAACCAAGGTATATGCCCTGACCAGAAATCAAACCCACAACATTTTTGGTGTATGGGACGATGCTCCCACCAACTGAGCCACCCAGCCAGGGCTTAGTGTCATTTCCCAAAGCAATGATTCCTGAGCTTTTCACTCTAGAAATTTTATCCAACTATTTTTAAACTAATATAAATGAGCTATCAGTATATCTTTCCTTTGTCTTAGCCATTTGAAAAAAGGACCATATTCTGAGAAGTCTCGGTAGAGAAGATGGAAGGTGACTAGAACAAGGTACTAACACAGAAATTTTAAAAAGTACTTTTTTGGTCTTGAAGATACACATTTAAAGAATAACAGACCTTGGCTGGAAAACCTAGAAAAGAAAAAGTTAGTTGGTAACTAACTGATAGAACACCATGAAGGAGGTCTAGAGTTAGCCTTTCTATTTTTACTGGTTTTCTACCCAAAAGTGGGTAGAACATAAGTTGGGAGAATCATAAATGTTGGCAGCATCAGCATTTATGAAGTAGACAACAAAAATAAGTTGTAATAATATTATGCAGCCATCTGGAATATTTCAAGTAATTAGCAATTAGCTATCAAGTCAACTAATTGTCATAAGCAGAGTTAGGCATCCAGTATGCACCTTAATAGATTATTATAAATTGTTTCCCTAAACTAATCTGGTGCTACTTCTGGTTCTCTCAATCTTGTTTTGGAACTCCTTATATTAATATACTGTTTCCTGTTCCTAAAATCTTATGCCCTTACTTAATTATCTCTCAAAATTCAGCTCATAATCTACATCCTCTGGAAACTCTTAACCATTTTCCAATGCAGATTTAAGTACTCTCATCTTTAATTGTATAGCCTTCTATGCACAAAACTAGCATAATAGTGAATCATATCTGATTCACATTTGGTCTCCCTCACTAGGTTCTTGTGTGCAAGCACCATCTCTTACTCCTCTTTACATTTCAAGAGCAAAAAACAAGTCCCTGGCATTTGTCTTCAATAAAAGTGGAATAAAGGAAGGACTGATGAATGAGAGGTAGCAGAAAGTAAAGATACTTTGCTTCTTTTAAAACCAGTAGGAAGATAGATACCTGGGGGCAGGGGGTAGGGGGATTATGTACCTAATAGGAATTACACATTTAGTAGGACCTCTAGGCAAGCAAAATGACTAGGTTACTGTCTTAATGTTAATTATCTTGCTAATTACCTGTATGCTACCATCTCACACTCTGGAGTTGGCCATTTCAAAATAGCTGAATGCTGCAAGACACAAGACACGCAAAAAAGGGATTACAATATTTATTTAGCACTGCATTATTGCATTATGAAGCTTTGATAGTTTAACCACTATGAATATTGTGTGTATGCTTCCAGAAAACACCAAATGATCCTACCAGGTCATCCAGAAGAGAATTCCTCTGGCTACGGCTCAATGTCCAAGCTTGTTCACCTCTAGATATTAAATGGGCAATAATTCCTGCTGCAAAGTAACTGACTTCCACTTCCACACTATGAAGGAGACTACTGATGTGGTCTATAAAATCCTTCCACATTAATTCAGAATGCAATTCTTGTACTTCAGCTATATTGTTCTGGAAAAAAAATTAAAAGTAATATATAGTAAATGCCTAATGACCCTTTGTACTTTAAGAAACAACAGAGATTGAAATGATTTAAACATGGACCTGTATATGGACATAGATGAAGACTGTTGCTATATTAGCACAGTGGGATTATGGGTGATTTTTTTCTCTCCTCTCCAAACAAAATAATAAACAGTGAGTCCCTTTTCTGGCAAAATTGTTAAATAGATAACCTAAAAATGTCCTGATATAAAATATCTAGAAGTGCTGGGTGAATAATAGCTAGCAGCCTTTAAATATGTAGCAAACAGAACCAAACCAGAGCAGTAACAGGCCATCACCAATCTGCAGGGGAGGAGAACTGGGTTTTAATAGCCATGCAAAGCCAGAAGGTAAGGGCTAAAAATTGGAACTAAGACTTCACATACAAATGAAGGACTTTCAAAGTCTTACACCTCAATAAAAGAGTGGATAGATACATGAAAAAGAAACCTACTGTAATCTACTCTCTGGCCGAAAAGGAAAAGTCTGCCCTTATAATTCATAACTAGGGGCCTACCTTCATGCAAGGCTGTGGCTAAACCCCAACTTAGAAAACAAGAGCAAGCGAGATAGGAAGAAAACAGAAAAGTTTGGTATCTAGAAAGCAGGGAGGGGTGAGTATATCAAAAGGGTAAAGGAAACAGTAGTTCTGAATACTGTAGAGAGCCTACATAAGATGAAGACAAAAAGCATCCATTTGTTTGAGCAATATAGCGATCTTGTGCCTTAAAAATTTCATAGCCTTAGGTCCCCACTAAAGTCTGGCCTACAGAAGGCAGGTGTTTTATCTGGACTTGGGATGTAATGGCTTCCCTTGGCAGCACATAAGGAAGACCTCTGTTCACACAGGAAACAATTCAGGGGTTTCCAATTTATCTCACTACTCTGAAGATTATCCTCATTCTTTTTTTTTTTAAGGTAAACTCTTAATTTTTTTTAATTTATTGATTTTTAAAGAGGAAGGGAGAGATGGATAGAGAGTGAAAGAGACATCGATTTGTTGTTCTATTTTTTTATGCATTCATTGGTTGATTGTGACCCAGGATTGAACCTGCAACCTTGACGTATTGGAAAAACACTCTAACCAGTTAAATTATTTAACATTTCCCTATTACTGGGCATTTAGATCATTTTACATTTTCTACTTTATATAGCTAAGTGAATAGATAGGTCCTTCTTAAATGCCAGGCTCCAGCTGTCGCCCAAATCCATCTCTTATTGCTCAGTATTTCAAAGTCTTGCATCTGGAAAACAAACACAAATCTACATATTTTTACTCACTAATCTATGCCTCCTATGATCTAATTCCTTCAGAACAGAGGTCTGCTCTAAAATGGTTTTTACCACATGGGCACTTTGCCTGTTGCAGAGATTAAAGCATTTGATCTTTCATCTTTGATCCATAAAACATCTGATCTTTTATCTTTGTCTCAAAATCCTAGAGGGCTCACTTTCACCAAATCCAATATATTTACTGAATATATGATTTGTTAAGAAGTCTTTTTTTTCTAATATATTTTATTGATTTTTTACAGAGAGGCAGGGAGAGGGATAGAGAGTTAGAAACAGCGAGGAGAGAGAAACACCGATCAGCTGCCTCCCGCACACCCCCCACTGGGTTTATGCCCGCAACCAAGGTACATGCCCTTGACTGGAATCGAACCTGGGACCCTTGAGTCCACAGGCCGACACTCTATCCGCTGAGCCAAACCAGCCAGGACTGTTAAGAAGTCTTTTAAGTAGTAATTATTAATTACCAAACACGGCCTCTAAAAATACTTTAGGTTAGTGACATTTTTTTTCTTTTTTTGTATGTGGCATTTTTAAATGAGATTTTTTTCTGATTATAAAAGTAAATCATGCTCATGAAGTTTGTACTATACCAAAAATATAAAGTATGTAATTCATATTTTCCTTTTAATGTGGTGAAAATCTTAGTATGTACATATAGTTTTGTACACTGCTTTTTTACTTAGTTAAAATACATATGTTTCCTAATGTCATTAAGTATTTATAAATACAATAGCAACTTCAATGTATCGCCTCAGACAGAAAATAATTATAGGTTTGAACTAAGCAGGAAATGCTTATTTCTTACCAAAAGTCCTAGAACTTTCTGTTGAATGGATGACTCAGTTGGAAAAGACTGTAAAAAGAAAGAGAAACCTATAACTACCTAAAGAATCAAATGTAATAAATGCTTAAATCAATCCATAAATGTCAAAACTGTAGGCTAAATTCCCATTCTAACCTCTAGAACCCTCATGAAGAGTTCTAACCCTTGGTTTTCAATAAAGTGTCTGCAAGTGGTTGGAGATTCATCTGTGAGGTTCCAAAGTGCACTCAAAGTAAATTTCAAAGTAGTATCCACCGAATTTTGATTGGTTTTCTGCTTCACTATTTGAAGAAGTTGCTAAAAGAAGGAAAATAGAATTAATTTCTCATTATTGAATTATTACAATTATTAGTGGCAATAACTAAAAGTCCATTAGGTTTAGTCTCATGGCTTAAGACACTTCCTATAAAGGTTTTTATAATTATAACAAACAGCCTCCTAGACCAGACTATTCCTCCAACAAGAAAAAAGTATAGGAACTTCACAAATACTTCTATATTATTCTGTTTGCATCTATAGTCTAATCACCTCTAAATAAAATGAAAAGCAAAATGATTAAACCTTGGGACCAACTATCTTACCCTATCAGTGACAACATATACTCATTTCAGATCCTGGCATATAAAAGGTGAAGGGGAGAATGAAGCAAACATTTATTTAGCATCAGCAAATTATATCCTAAATTGTAGTAGTGCTATCCCCATTTTTCAGGAGAAGAAATTCAGTCTGAGAGGTATTAAATTTGATCATAGTCAACTTAGTATGAGAAAGTAATGGAAGAACTAATTCTATCTTCAAGTTTTAAGAAAAAAAAGAAAGGACAAACTAAATATAATAGTAAGAGAATTAAAGTCTACATTGGATTTCCGGGAGGAGGAGGTTAAGGGGGAGAAAAAGGGACTATCTGTAATATTTTCAACAATAAAGATACATTTTAAAAAAGAAAACAGAGGTGCAGGAAAAAATTAAGTCTATACTGGATTTAAATAAGATAATAACTTTGAAATTCCACTTATATATTATCTGTCATAGCTTTAACCTCTGAAATTTAAAGTTTGCAAGTTAAATGTTTTAACACCTACATAAAGCATCCATAATTCCATTTATACATTACACTTTTGGAAGTAAGAGACAGCTTTGCTAAAACAGATACAAGAAAACATTAATAAACACTCCAAGTTACATACAGTTCAGGAAAAATATTTAAGAAACACAAACACTTCTGTGCAATTATTTAAATTAATAGCATAGAGGCTAAGAGTTTGGCATCAGAATCAGGTTACCTGAGCTTAAATATAATAATCTCTCTGCATCTGATTAACTGTGTAAACTTGTTTGCCAGTTCTTTGTTTCCTCATTTGTAAATTGTAGGTGATAATTAAAAGAAAAAAAAAAAGCTATCATTACTACTACTACTACTACTACTACTACTATTAATTTCTGCTAATTCCTGCTTAAGCTAAGCTTAATTTTCCCCCAAAGCATATGAGGGGGCTATTTCCTTAAAATCTTTGAATATATCTCCATCTAAAAGTACTGAGACATATATAGCAATGAAAAGCCTTATTTATAATTAAAATGCCATTCTGAATATAGTAAAAATAAATAAAATCAGCATCATTTTCCACTTAACAATATATATTCTATCATCTAGCACTTAGCATATATTCCTTCAATTACTCTTTTTTCCTTTTCATTTAATCTTCATAATAACTGCATAAAGTATTTTTTACCACCCTTAAGAAAATTTATGTGACTTGCCCCAAATCACACCACTAATAAATAACAGAATTAGGAATAAACCTAGATATGTCAATTTAAGAATGCATACACTTTCCATTTACCACTACAGCCTTCTTTTTATGTTACTTATTTCATTCATATCTTTATTATTATACTTATTAGATTGCATTATAACTACCTCTACATAGCTATTTTCTATACTGTGAATTTCTTATGGGAAGGTATTAGAAATATAATTCAGTGTGAATCCCTAACATTTTAAGGTGGTAGGTGATGAGTATTGTATAATTACCTATCAAATGAATGATTTACTTTGTCATTTCATAGATAATTTATGTCATAGAAAAAAGGAGTCTCTCACTTGACTTTTCTATCCACTATGGTTGTTCAAACACCTCATGCCAGGATTATAACAGGAAGCCCCAAAATGGACGTTTTTCCTCCAGTTCTCCCTAAGACACTATTCATATTTATTCTCTTTAAAGGTTTTTAACTTTTCACTGTTCATTATATTATTTCCTCAACTGTGTAAGCAAGCAAAATAATACATGAACTATTTAAATTATATTCTTCCCCAAATCATCTAGCATAATCTTAAATATTTTTTAAAATATATTTTATTGATTTCAGAGAGGAAGGGAGAGGGAGAGAGAGATAGAAACATCAATGATGAGAATCACTGATCAGCTGCCTCTTGCACACCCCCTACTGGGGATCAAGCCCGCAACCCAGGCATGTGCCCTTGACTGGAATCAAACCCGGGACCCTTCAGTCCATAGGCCGATGCTCTATCCACTGAGCCAAACCAGCTAGGGCTAGCACAATCTTATGCCTATAATCATCTTTACATTTTCTTCATAAATGTAACAAAATCACAGAATTTTAGAACTCGGTAAGATCTTAAGGCTTATATATACACTAATAGTTCAGGCAATTTTTCTAAATTCACAAAATGAATTTACAAATGAGATCCTAGGTCATCTGACTCTTATAGTTCAGGGCTCTTTCCATCTCTGTTAAGGAGTAAAGCTGCCTCTATAAAAAGAAATTAATACACTCATTTAGAAGAAAGAAAAATAATTTTTAAAATATAAAGTATCAAAAAAAATATATAAAGTATCAGAAGATACATACACAACACTGCCTGAAAACAATGAAAATGAAAACTGTCTAGTGCTCTGCATGGAGGAGATAACACTTACCCTCACAATGAAGAGCTCAGCACCAAGCTGTGCAGTTTGTTCTGTAGAAAGCTGCAAGCAAGCAGACAAAATAAATGTCCAAGAACCCACTAGTGTGAATGTAATATCAGTCACTATAGCAGGCTAAGGTCAGAGTAAAGTCTTTGATCAACCTGGAATTTTGCAATTTTGAATTGCAAGCGTGAATAAGCAGGCTGGCAGAGAGGCTTACTAACCTTTGTGGCTTTTGGATTTGGGGAAAATAATAACTATAAGGGAAACACGAGTTCAGGTACCTTGGCAGCCAGAATGGAAATGATAGCAACTGCCATCCTTTGCATGTTTTGATCCTCATGGTTGCAGAGCCACTGCATGACAAGCTTAGCTGCTTCAAACCTGAAAACACACAAATGGTTCATGAACTAATTCTGGAGGGGCAGGCACAATTTCAGAGTCCCCGCTGGAAACTGATAATTCCTCTTACTTAACAGAGAATAACAATGATACTTAGTGTTCTGGAGACAGCACCGCAATATTAATTCTGACAACACTTTGTAATGAAATAAGAGTCAAAACTACTGGGCATTCATCTTCTAAAATTACAGCACATTTCTATTCTGTAGTGATTTCAATAATGTAGTAATAAGTATTTTCTGGGTTCCTCACAGTAGCTAGCACAACAGTAATTCATTCACTTACAAACATGTATTGAACTCCTTTTATGCCAAACATTGTTCTCGGTGCTAGAGACAGAGTAGTGTCCGGGTTATTTTATATTTTTCAGATTCCACATATAAGTGACATTATGTGGTATTTGTCTTTTTCTGTCTGACTTACTACACTGAGCATAATACCATCTAGGGCAGTGATGGCGAACCTTTAGAGCTCGGCGTGTCAGCATTTTGAAAAACCCTAACTTAACTCTGGTGCCGTGTCACATATAGAAATTTTTTGATGTTTGCAACCATAGTAAAACAAAGACTTATATTTTTGATATTTATTTTATATATTTAAATGCCATTTAACAAAGAAAAATCAACCAAAAAAAATGAGTTTGCATGTCACCTCTGACATGCGTGTCATAGGTTCGCCATCACTGATCTAGGTCCATCTATGTTGTCACAAATGGCAAGATTTCATTCTTTTTTTAAAAACTATTTTTATTTTATTACATTTTATTTTATTTTTATTTTTCAATTACAGATGACATTCAGTATTATTTTATATTAGTTTCAGGTGTACAGCATAGTGGTTAGACATTTATATAATTTACAAAGAGATCCTTCCAATAATTCTAATACCCACCTGACACTATACATAGTTATTATACTACTAGAGGCCCAGTGCACAGGATTTGTGTACTGGTGGGGGGGCTGGCCTGCGTGGATCAGCCCACTGTGGGAGTGCCGCTCATTCTGATCAGCCAAGCAGCTGTGGACCTGCCCTTCTGTGGACCAGCCAAGCAGCTGTGGACCAGCATCTTCTATGGAGCCGGAGCATCTGCCTCTCCAGGGGACTCGATCAGGGCCGGGCCCATGGACAATAGCACTGAGAGGCGGTAGAGTAGTTCTCAGTCCTGCAGCGGCCATGAACCTGCCTCCTAGCCTCTGGGGTTAGCTCTGTGAGCCTGGCAGCAGCACTGCACAACCTGCAGGCATCCAGAGGAGGCAGCAGGGAGTGAGGAGGAGGAGCCTGGGGCGAAGAGGCGATGATTGCAGCCTGGGTTCCTGCCCATCGGCCTGGGGTTCGCAGCGGGAGCAGCCTCTCATCCCTGTAAGCAGCGCTCCCACTGTGGTAGTGCACTGACCACCAGGAGACAGCTCCTGCATTGAGCGTCTGCTCCATGGTGGTCAGTGTGCATCATAGCGACTGGCTGACCGGCTGTTCTGGTCATTCCACCATTTGGTCGCTGGGCTTTCATTATATGCTAGAGGCTCGGTGCACGAAATTTGTGCAGGGAGGGGGGTGTCCCTCAGCCTGGCCTGCACCCTCTCTAATCCAGGACCCTTGTGGGATCGAGCCTAAACCGGCAATCGGACATCCCTCTTGCAATTTGGGACGCTGGCTCTTAACCGCCTGCTTGCCTGCTGGCTTGATCCCCCTAACTGCCTCTGCCTTGGCCCCACCACCATGGCTTTGTCCGGAAGGACGTCTGGTCTAATTAGCATATTACCATTTTATTAGTATAGATCAGCCGTGGGCAAACTATGGCCCGCGGGCCGGATCTGGCCCATTTGAAATGAATAAAACTAAAAAAAAAAAAGACTGTACCCTTTTATGTAATGATGTTTACTTTGAATTTATATTAGTTCACACAAACACTCCATCCATGCTTTTGTTCCAGCCCTCCGGTCCAGTTTAAGAACCCATTGTGGCCCTCCAGTCAAAAAGTTTGCCCACCCCTGGTATAGATAGAGGCTTGGTGCACGGGTGGGGGAGGGGGGGTCTCTGCTGGGGGTGGGGCCAGCCTGAGCTAGGGGCTGATGGCTGTTTGCAGGCTAGCCATGCCCCCATTGGGGTGGGGGTCCCTGCTGGGGGGCATGGCCAGCCTGGGTGAGAGACTGAGGGCCGTTTGCAGGCTGGCCACGCCCCTGGCTTTGTCCAGAAGGACATCTGGAAGGTCTCCGGAAGGTCTCCTGGTCTAATTAGCATATTACTCTTTTATTAGTATAGAGCAGGGGACCTCAAACTTTTTAAACAGGGGGCCAGTTCACTGTCCCTCAGGCCGTTGGAGGGCCGGACTATAGTTTAAAAAAAAACTATGAACAAATTCCTATGCACATTGCACATATCTTATTTTGAAGTAAAAAAACAAAACGGGAACAAATACAATATTTGTATGTGCATGTGGCCCACCGGCTGTAGTTTGAGGACCCCTGGTATAGAGGATTTTTGATTACATTTCCTATGCTGTACTTCACATCCCCATGACTGTTTTGTAATTACCAATTTGGACCTCTTAATCCCTTCACTTTTTTCATGTAGCCCTCCAACTTCCCTCTCATCTGGCAACCCTCAGTTTGTTCTCTGTATCTATGAGTCCTTCTGTTTTCTTTTGTTCATTTATTTTGTCCACACATAAGTGAAATCATATGGTATTTGTCTTTTCTGTCAGACTTCTTTCACTTAGCATAATATACTCTAGGTCCATCCATGTTGTCATAAATGGCAATATTTCATTTTTTTATTTCTGAACTAGAGGCCTGGTGCATGAATTCATGCACAGGTGAGGTCCAGCCAGCCTGGCCCGATCAGGGCTGATCGGGCCAGGCCAGCTAGGGGGAGGGGCCGTGGGCGGTTGACCAGCCGGCTTGCCCCCTGGCTGAACTCCAGGTCAAAGGGACAATTTGCATATTAGCCTTTTATTACTAGTATATAGGAGGATACTATTCCATTAAATAGGTAGGTAGGTAGAGATAGATAGATAGATAGATAGATAGATGATAGATAGATACTACATTTTCTTTATTAATTTACTGATAGATATCTAGGTTGCTTCCATATCTTGAGTATTACTAGTAATGCTGCAATCAACATAGGGGTGCATGTGTCTTTTCAAATTAGTGTTTTTGTTTTCTTTATATAAGCTGGCAATAGATTCCTAATGGGCCTCTGTCTCCCTCCATTGCGTTCCCTTCAATTTCTGCCTACACAATTGTAATAAATAAATCTGTAAGAGGACTTAGGTATGATGTCACTCTTGTAGTTAGTATTTTATGATTCTAGCAATGGGCCCATACATTAAAATCTTTTTTCCTGCCTACCATATTCTTACTGCAAAGTAGACTGCTCATTAGTCCTTCAAACATACCCACAGTTATGAGGTAATATGGCCTGAAGTTCTTTGGATTTTTTGGTTTAAATTCTAATTCTATTTTTACTTTTTCATGTGAGGTGATGCATTAAGTCATTCAAAACATCATAGGCCCTAGCTGGTTTTGCTCAGTGGATAGAGCATCAGCCTGTGGACTGGAGTTCCGGGTTTGATTCTTGTCAAGGGCAGGAGCCTCGGTTGCAGGTTCAATCTCTGGCCCTGGTTGAAGTTTGTGTGGAAGGCAACCCATCGATGTATCTCTCTCACATCAATGTTTCTCTCTCTGTGTCTCTCCCCCTCCCTTCTACTCTCTCTAAAAAAAAAAAAAAAAAAAAAAAAAAAAAAATTCAATGGAAAAATATCCTTGGGTGAGGAGTAACAGAAACATTATAAATTTTGGAGTCAGTCTGGACTCAAATATCACCTTCTACCACTTATTAACTTTGGGACCCTGAGCAAGTCCCTTAATCTCTCTGAACTTCAATATTCTCATCTATCTATAATAATAAAAGCATAATATGCTAATTAGACCAGATGTCCTTCCGGACATCCTTCCAGATGACCTTTTGGACAAAGGTGGGGCTGCGAGGAAAGCTGGTGCCAGTAGCCGGGGGAAGGAAGGCCTACTCTTGCACTAATTTTGTGCATCGGGCCTCTAGTAAAATAATAAGATCTATTCTACAGGACTGTCATGAGGATTAAATGATATCACATATCAAGATTAAGACAGTACAGAATTGACACACACCACGCTTTTGATAAAGGTTATTTTTTTACTAGTATTATTGACTTCCTCTGTGCCTTTATTTGTACAGTTCCCAAAACATAAAACAATCAACTCAACTAGCTTCATCTTTAAAGCATATAGCACGGCATAAAAAGTACAGGCTCTCAGTCAGTCTGGATTTCAATCTAAATTCTGCTACTTACTATCTTATCACCTTGAGCAAGTTACTAAACCTCTGTGTGCCTCTGTTTCCTCATCTGTAAAATGAAGATTACAAGACTAATCATTTCACAGGACTGATGTAAGGACTGAATAAGCATATGAAAAACACAGCACAGTGCCTTGCGATTCCAGTGCTTCATACATGTTAGTTATCTTTATTACCTCAAATGCCATCACTAACATGAAATCTTTAATGATTACTAATCAGATGGAATCTTTCCCTCCTTGTTTGGGGGCCCAATTCATTCTGTTACTTCTTCTATGAAAAATTCTGTTTTCTATTATACTCATTTATTCATCCTTCCATCCATTAAACATCCACTTAAGCACTAGAGACAGAGATAAATCAATCACAGTCTCTAACCACAAAGAAGTTCAATTCTAGTAGAGTGCACTGGCTATAAAATAAAATTAGTAATCTACTATATATATTCCAAACTACGTATTTTAAATAGTAAATGGAACACCTCATTCCTCAGCCATGCCAGATAACAGTGTACTGTTAACAAAATAAATCACAGTAAAATTGCTGCTGGAGAAATATACATTTCAGTATAAATTTCTTTTTCAAAATATCATCATTAAAAATTATAAAATAGTAAAATGAAAAAAATCTCTTTTAGCGCTCAAATTATAGCATCTTAGAAAACAAAAGAACCCTTTTTACTTATTGGAATCTAGTCTTCCTTTAACCTCTGCTTGAAAGTTTCTTCTTAAAAAGTTTCTTCTATAATTCAATATCAAATAACTAATAATAAGAGGTATGATTCAGAGAAAAGAACACTGAACTAAAACTAGATGACTTCTAGTCTGGTAATTACTAGTCACAAAACCATGGGCAAGACACTGAATCTCTATGTGCCTCAGTTTCTTTAGCCTACATTATTGTGTGGATATTTTTTAAACTATAATCAATATAAATTCTTAAGCAAAGGGCTATGAAAACAGGGGCCCATCTGCTATCATGAATATCAAGACACTGAACTAGAGAAAATAGATTTAGCATTCTGTAAGACAACACTTAATCCCATCTATTTGATTAATTGTACACCAGGGATATAACTGGTACGAAATTACCTAAGACTTGGCTGGTGTAGCTCAGTGGTTGAGCAACAACCTATGAACTAGGAGGTCATGGTTTGATTCCTGGTCAGGGCATATATCTGGGTTGCAGGCCTGACTGATCTCCAGTGTGGGGCGTGCAGGAGGCAGCCAATCAATGATTCTCTCTCATCACTGATGTTTCTATCTCTCTCTCCCTCTCCCTTCCTCTCTGAAATCAATAAAAATATATTAACAAACAAAAAAAGAAATCACTCAAGACAGATTTCTAAAACTCTGTTTTGTCCCATTTTAAGTTTTAGGACTATCACTTGCCTGTTAAATGGAACATCTTGAAGGATCCGGTCACTGCAAAGTGAAAGGAGGCAATTCTTTTGCAACTAAAGAACCAAAGGGAGAAAAAAAATCATTAATAAAATGTTGCTTTGTTATTTTTTAAACAGGAGTAGCCTCTATATTAAAAAACAAAAGAAAACAAAAAACGGAAGAAGACTGATGAAACCCCATTTATTTTACAACCTTTATTTTGGCACCTACTGTTGAAATAATGACTTCCACTGGACACATATAAGTTTACCAGCACATTTTTTTTTTCTTTTCCTTTAGATGACAAATAGGATAAGAAGTAGGATAATTCCAGCTAATTTCCCTCTGTTCTGGTAGGTTTTAGGTGGGTCCCGTTTTGTCTTCTGTCTACCTGGCCTCCAGGGCCCATGAAAAACAAAGCCCAAAGTTTATCTGGTTTGAGGGAAGCTGGCTTTAATGATCCACTCACCAATGTGGGATGCCATTTTTACTTGGTTTTGGACATATTTTTTACTAACTTGCCAACTCACTGCTAAATTTTAAGAGTTAAAAATATAATTTAAGCCCTGGCTGGGTGGCTCAGTTGGTTGGAGCATTGTCCCATTCACTGAAAGGCTGTGGGTTCAATTCATGATCAGGGCGAGTACAGGAGGCAACAGATTGATCAGTGATTCTCTCACATCAATGTTCTCCCTATCTCTCTCTAAAATCAATAAAAACAGTCCAGCTGGTGTGGTTCACTGGCTGAACCAGGAGGTCATGGTTTGATACCTGGTCAGAGCACATGCCAGGGTTGCAGGCTTGATCCCCAACAGGAGGAAGCCATTCAATGATTCTCTCCCATCACTGATGTTTCTTTTCTTTTTTCTTTTTCTTTTTTTAACATATTTATATTGATTTCAGAGAGGAAGGGAGAGGGAGAGAGAGAGATAAAAACATTAATGACAAAAGAGAATCACTGATTGGCTGCCTCCTACACGCCCCCTACTGGGAATCAAGCCCACAACCCAGGCATGTGCTACTGACCGAAATCGAACCCAAGACCCTACACTCCGCAGGCTGATGCTCTATCCACTGAGCCAAACCAGCTAGTGTTCATCATTGATGTTTCTTTCTCCCTCTCCCTTTCTGAAATCAATAAAAAATTATATATATACATATACATATACATATACATATACATATACATATACATATACATATATATAAAAAAAGAGGTAATATGCAAATTGTCCGGAATGCCATAACGTCACGACCGCTCAGGAGGAGGCTGCGAGCGCACGTGGGTGGGAGGGGACTGTGTGCGCGGTGAAGCAAGCCACGGCTGGTGCAGGCCCAGAGAGAACAGGGCCTGCCTGCTGCCGTGGCTGTGCGGAGGCCGGGAGAGAACAGGGCCCGCCAGCCGCAGCGCATGAGCTGCAGAGGAAACACCTTTCTGACCACTCATTGGCTAAGTTCCCTGTATGCCACCTGCAGTGTTCTTGGTAACTTGGGTAATAAGAATCCAAGAAGGTGATCTAGGGTTTTTCCACCTCATTCCTGGAGGAAAAAATGAAGGTCTGCTGCTGGAGGGGCTAAGAAATATCATATCCTGCCCTAGCTGGTTTGGCTCAGTGGATAGAGTCTGGGCCTGTGGACCGCAGGGTCCAGGTTGGATTCTGGTCAAAGACATGTACCTAGTTGCAAGCTCCTCCCTGGCCAGGGTCCAGGTCAGGGGTCCTGCAGGAGGCAAGCAATTGAAGTGTCTCTTTCACATTGATGTTTCTCTCTGTCTTTCCCTCTCTCTTCCATGCTCTCTAAAAATCAATGGAAAAATATCCTCAGGTGAAGATGAAAGGAAAGAAGGAAGGAAGGAAGAAGAAGGAAGGAAGGAAGGAAGAGGAAGGAAGGAAGGAAGGAAGAAAGGAAGAAAGAAAGGAAGGAAGGAGGAAAGGAAGGAAAGGAAGGAAAGGAAGGAAAGGAAGGAAAGGAAAGAAAGAAAGAAAGGAAAGCAAGGAACGAAGACGAATGAAGTAGTAAGCCGGCAGCCGTCAGTAAGCAGTCAACAGCCGCACGATAGAAGAACGAACACTCCCGACCGACTCCCAAGCAAGCATAAACACAAGCCAGATTATCTTCTATGAAAGAGACAGCTTGAAAATGCCTAAAGAAAGTTGTCATTTTTTCATGGTGAAGGGACCAGACTCCATGTTGATGAAAACACCTTGGCAGCTGCAGCAGCTGGCAGTGGCAGCAGCAGCAGAGTGATGGAGGCGGCGCCTTTCTCTGATCAGCCCAGTTGCCTCCCGCAGAGGGAGGCCTGGGAGCGGGCCTAAGCAGTCAGTAGGACATCCTCTGAGGGCTCCCGGACTGAGAGGGGGCAGGCTGGACTGAGGAACCTCCCCAGCCTCCGGGCCTCTAGTTATATAGATAAAGAAAAAATCAATAAAAACACAGCCTCGAGTGAGGATTTATATATCTATATCTATATAGATATGTATATGTATATGTATATAATCTAAGCAGTATTTTACTTTTTGTTTTTTATCTTTCTTTATTGGTTAAGGTATTACAAATGTGTCCTCATCCCCCCATTAACCCCCAACCTCCCCCCCGCCACTCATGTTCTCATTCCCTTGTTGTCCATGTCCATTGGTTTGGCTTATATGCATGCATACAAGTCCTTTGGTTGGTCTCTTCCCCTTACCCCCACCCTCCCCTACTTTCCCTCTGGGGATTAATAGTCTGATTGCTGTTTCTCTGTCTTTGGATCTGTCCCTGTTCATCAGCCTATGTTGTTCTCTATATTCCACAAATGAGTGAAATCATGCGGTATTTATCTTTCTCTGACTGGCTAATTTCACTTAGCATAATGCTCTCCAGTTCCATCCATGCTGTTGCAAATGGCAAGAGTTCCTGAGTTGTCATCTGGCTAGGTTATATAGTCTGGCATACTGCTAGAAATAGAAAATCCTTGTCTTATTCATTTCTGTATCCCAGTACTTAATAGTATATGGCCCAGAACAAATAGATGCTCTATGGCTAGACTCAAGATCTAGGTTGAAAATGAGTTTTATATGGCTTACACTATTTCCCTGAACATTTGGATTTAAATACTATTTAGGCAGGGAATGCACACTTTAGTTTTCTACTTCTCTGTTGTCTTACAATCAGTCATACCACAAATTTATTACTTTACAGCATGTAAAGGCATTAGAATTTCCACCCTTGGTCTATTAAATTGAACTATATGGAGGTAGGAGATGGGTAGGAGACACTAAAAGGACTATTTGAATGCAGATTCCCATATGCTTACCTGCTGGTGATTAGGAAAATGTTCCATAGCTTTCAGCAGCAAATGGGTCACATCAGCCAGAAGTCGGACAGGCATTCCTACAGCAAGATCCTGCTTGGTTAAATTAAATACACAGGCGCTTGCAGCAAGTTGCACTGGTAAATTCATAGGGTGGTTTCTCATCCCAGTGACCACAAGCTGGGAAAAAAAAATTAATCCACCTTATAAATCCAAGCTCTCTTCACACAGCAACATTAGTGTTAAAATATATAATAATTTCTAAAATATCTTAAGTATCTTTTTTGTTCTCATGTGCAAAGAGCCTAGGACATAGCAGTTGCTCACTAATACTTAGTTTCTGTGAACCTGGTTCATGTCCAGAAATTTTTCTGTAAGACTAATAAATCTTTTTTATTCAGGTAATTTATCTTTGTGTATCCAAGACCTACTATAGTATCTGTTATATGGTTAACACAATAAATTCTTAATGACTTAAATAGAGTAAAACAGAGGCAAACTACTTTCAGATGAGACTGGGCACATCAGGGTGATATGGCAGTAGACTAAACTTCACTTTCTTTTTTTTTTTTCCCTACTTTTATTTTTATTAGCATTTATTTTATGCTGAATTTACTCCCTGGCCATAGTTTTTGTTTCTTCAGTTTCTTCTGGGATATCTTTTTTTTTTCATGTAACTTCCTCTTCTGGTTTAAGAACAATCTGCTCTTTTTTTTTTTTTTTAATATATTTTTATTGATTTTTTACAGAGAGGAAAGGAGAGGGATAGAGAGTTAGAAACATCGATGAAAGAGAAACATCGACCAGCTGCCTCCTGCACACCTCCTACTGGGGATGTGCCCGCAACCGAGGTACATGCCCTGGACCGGAATCGAACCTGGGACCCTTCAGTCCGCAGGCCGATGCTCTATCCACCGAGCCAAACCGGTTTTGGCTCTGCTCTTTTTTAGTAAAGATCATCTAAATGTGGGAGGGAGAGCTCATCTATGGGTTAATCTGTCCACGAACTCTGTAAATTCTGTGCTGCTTCTTAAGCTTTGTTCACCTGGATATGCTCAATGACTAGAGAACCTACGTCTAAACCCCGAAGTTTAGCATTACTCTCGGCACTTTTAAGCACGTGCAGGAAAAATTCAGCACTCTTTTTAGCCACTGACCCTGCATCTTCCCCCACTCTATGGCCTGGGCAAACCTACCAACTCCACCATTCTAAAGACAGAATGGCACACATTTGCTTCTGTACAGTAACATCTTTCAAATACTTGGTGGCCTGCATACCCTTGATGGCCTGGACAATTTCATGAGTGTTCTTAAAGGGAACACAAAGATTTGAACCTTGATTTTGTAGGGTTTTCTAGGTCAAGTGAATAGCAAATCATTTTCAGAGGTCACTTCAAGCCACTTTCAAATTCCAACATTCAGTTCCTTGAGAATGCTGTTAAAGTTAGAGCACAATAAAATCCATTCACTTCCTTCTGGCCTTGATAACTATTTTCTAACTTTCCCTCTCTAATCAACCCCCCAACAAATCCTTCCTACTCCTCATTATCCATATCATCTGAAGACCTTGCTTCCAACCACATGGAGAAAACTGAAGGAATCAGAAAGGAACTTCAGATTCTCACTACACAGTACCCTCTAACCCAGTGATGGCGAACCTATGACACGTGTGTCAGAGGTGACACACGAACTCATTTTTTTGGTTGATTTTTCTTTGTTAAATGGCACTTAAATATATCAAAAATATATCAAAAATATAAGTCTTTGTTTTACTATGGTTGCAAATATCAAAAAATTTCTATATGTGACATGGCACCAGAGTTAAGTTAGGGTTTTTCAAAATGCTGATACGCTGAGCTCAAAAGGTTCACCATCACTGCTCTAACCAGCCTATACACATGCTGCCTTCCTGCCTGTTACCATAAATGATTTTTGTTGGCTCCTGTTGAAAGGTATTCTCTCCATTATGTCCTAGATCCTTCCTTTCTTATCTACTCAAGGATATTATTTCAGCTGTTCTCCCCTCTCACTTTTACACCATTTTAAAATTCTGCAGTAAATGCCCTGGCCAGTGTGGATCAATTGGTTAAGTGCCGTCCCTTGTACCGAAAGGTCACTGGTTTGATTCCTGGTCAGGGCACATACCCAGGTTACAGGTTTGATTCCCGGTAGGGTTGTGTATGGGAGGCAACAGATCCATGTTTCACTTTCACATTGATGTTTCTCTCTCTCTAAAATAAATAAAAATATATTTTTTAAAATTCTGTACTAGGTCATTCATATCATCATATAAAGCTAGTTTGTCACCCATTTCCTCAGCCAACTACCACCTTTTTTCCTTTGCTCCCCATTGTAGCAAAACCTCTTAAAATAACTGCCTATATTTTTTTCTCTATCATTCGCTGATGAATGAATTGAATGAATGAGTAAATATTTCAGATCAGGACTAGAGATCTAGTCCTTTGGTCCTAAAAAAAAATAGATAAGGCATATGCCAAGTGCCAATATCCTCTGGTATGTATGGAGCAGGCGATAGGTATTGGGGATAATATCCTAGGGTCTGAAATGTACTTGTTCCTATTCATGCACCCCATTCTCAAAATTTAAGATTCCTGAAGGTTAAGTCATTTCTGGTTGTGCCACTAACTTATTGTTATTAAACCTCACAGACCCTCAGTTATACAATCTATAAAATAGAAGGTACAACTTATCAGTTGGGACTGTGGTGCCCACTAAATGAGATAACAAATATAATATACTCCTATACTCACTGGTTTCAAAAATGAATGTGTATAAGGATTATCTTTTTTAAAATTTATCTTTATTGTTGAAAGTATTACAGATGTCCCCATTTTTCCCCATTGATCACCTCTTCCCTGTTCCCCTTCCCTCCCCCAGGCCTTCACCTCCCTATTGTCTGTGTGGATGGGATATGTATAAATTCTTTGGTTAATCTCTTCCCATCACTTCCCTTGCAGATTCCCCTATTGAATCTAAATTTCTTGGGGTGGGGTTCACAAATCTGCTTTTTAAAATAGGCAATACACCAGACTTCTGGTAGACAAAGACCACATTCTAACAAACACTGCCCTAAGCAATCAACAAAATTAAGAATCTTCCTTACTTGCCCTTTAAAAGCTGTCTTGGTTAAAATAACATGGCTTAGTTATGAAAGCACAGGAGGAGGTTTATAAATGGCACAGGAGGTTTATAAATGGCATTGGAATTCCAATGTTGTATTTCTAAAAAGAGCCTATCTGAAAGCTATACAGGGCTAATACCTATTGCAGTGTCCTGATTCAAGTCATATACTTCCATTTTCTACTGCAACTGGTGAGACAATATCACACTGGTCACTGGTTTTAGGTAGTTAAATATCATCTGGAAGGCATCCATACTACTTAATGAGACTTCTATAAAATTTCAAAAACATTATGCAATTATCTTTCCTCTTTCTCATTTACTGCTAATAACTGAAGTCATGCATCATTAATCCTATTACAAAAAAGAGTCAAAGGCTAAATGCATATTTTCACTAGTTTTCTTTACAAAACCAACATCTATCCAGGCAGATCATTTCAAATTTTTCACATCCAGTTTCTTATTCTTCTTACCTTTAAAATTTCTGGCTTTGTTTTTTCCATCACATGAGTCAGACTAAAAAGGTGAAATAGAGCTTCCCGGACAAAGAATGCTCGCTCACTGTACCGCTTCAATGCCTCTGCAATCTGAGTTTCGTTGGCTTCTCCAGACACCTTTGAACAGAGCCAGAAAATTAGATTTTAGGTTCTTCTCAACCCTCTAACTTTCTCTATCCAAATATTATTTGTATAGATGGCATCCAGGATAGCTATGTAAGGCTTAAAACAAATCAGAATAGTCATCCTATGCAGATGCAATAGTCATCCTATGTTAGAGAGAGATACTGATATAGATAGATATAGATATAGATATATAGATATATATATATCCTATGTAATAAAAGCCTAATATGCAAATCGACCGAACGGCAGAGCGACTGGTCATTATGATGCGCACTGACCACCAGGGGGCAGATGCTCAACACTGGAGCTACCTCCAGCCTGCAGGCCCCAGGTGAGCCAAGGCGGGTGCCAGCAGGGGGCCCCCGATCACCCCACAGATCAGCCCTGATCACCAGCTAGGCCTAGGGACCCTAAGTGTGCACGAATTTCATGCACAGGGCTTCTAGTACATTATATAGGCTCAGACCCTACTATGAGCCTGTGGGTAAAATTTTCTACATTGCACCTAAAATAAATCTCAATTTATTTAATATTATCTATACGGTCTTGCCTTGGGATTAGGCTTTTATCTAACTCTTAAGGTAACCCTCTCCCCCTAACATACAATGTTATAGCCACATGGACTATTTTCCTGATCTTTCAATAAGCCAAGCTCTTTCCCAGGAAAAGGCCATTAATAATAATAAAAGCGTAATATGCTAATTAGATTGGACATCTTTCAGGACAACCTTATGGACGAAGCTGGGGCTGCAAGGAAAGCCCAGGTCCCAGGTGCCAGAAGGAAGCTGGTGCCGGCAGCCGGGGGAAGGAAGGCCTACTCTTGCATGAATTTCATGTATTGGGCTTCTAGTTATTTATAATATCCTCTCACTGAAATCTTCCTCTCTTTCTTTGACTAATTTCTACTCAACCTTCCCAATTCAAGTTAAACAATACTTCTTTAGCAAGGCCTTCTCTGACCTACCAATCTAAGTCAGATCCCTCTGAAACATCTTTTTCATAGCCATTATCATAACCACCCCTCCCCCAACTACACTGACCCATTCACCACTGTATCCCAACAGCTGGCATTATGTGTGCCTCACAATAAAAACTCAGTAAGTATTCATCACATAAATGTATAAATTAATTTTCCTGATTTATTAAGCTCTCAGTCAGCATCAAGAGGTTCTCTTCAAAATTAAGACCATCTAGGAATTTCCCATTTACAAAGGTTAATACACTTAACTTAAACTATGGTTCATGTACCATTGGGTAACCAAATGTACATAATAAGAAGTGGCTCTTTATAAAAGTAATCCAACTAATAAGTGAAAGAGAAATTATTAGAATAGCACCATAATCTCCAATGAATTAATGGAACTAGGTATTAAGTTTCAACACCTGTTAACATCACAGAATAGATAACAACCAGACATTATATACTTCCTTAATGAAAGAGCATGATACCTTAAGGGTCCTTTCAAATATATCAAACATGAGTGTGATTAAGTTTCCCATCCAGCTACCAATCTGTATAAAATTCAAACACAGGGAAATATGCACCAAGAGTATACAGTCGTGAAAATCCAGATTGAGGGAAATTCTACAAGTCAAAAAAGCTGGATTCTTTAATAGACAAATCATAAGGAAAAGAAAGGAATGGAGAGGGAACCTGTAAATTAAAAGACACTCAAAAGACAAAATTTTGAAAAATGGACAAGATTAACTAGAGATAAATAGTTGGGTCATAACACTATATATAAAAAAGCAAGGACATAATTATTATTATAAAGTCAGAATAGAGGTACTTTTATGAAGAAGGAGGGAGTTGTAATCAGAATTGGACATATGGAAGAGCTTTAGGGTAGTTGACGAATTTCTATTTATTAATCAGAGTGATGGTCTCAAATGTGTTCACCTTATTTTCACTCACTAAGCTATACATGTGTTATTTATGGTCTTTGTATCCATCTTATTTTATAATAAGGTTTAAAAATATGTAAAAACAAAAAACAAAAACAAAACCCTGTCATTCAGAGAGATATAATCTCATTAAATTGGAAGACAGGTATTTTTTGGCAGTAACATTATGCAGGTTGAAACAAAAATAAATACTTAAAAAATATATTACTCAGAAACTAGGTTTTATATGAACATACAGTATTTAGGTAGGAAATGCAGCTTTGAGGAAATGAAGGCTGCATCATGACTGACATTTCAACCATTGATATGATATGCTACAAGATCTAATATAAACTAGACTATAGTACTGATGTGTGCCAAGTGACACAAGGGCACATACCAAGCATTTGTAAGATTGTAGAAATAACAATGCTATTTCTTTACAAAATGTTTTAAAAACTATTTATATACTAGAGGCCTGGTGCACAAAAATTTGTGCACTCGGGGGAGGAGGGGGTCCCTCAGCCTGGCCTGTGCCCTCTTGCAGTCTGGGACCCCTTGGGAGATAACGACCTGCTGGCTTAGGCCTGCTCCCGGGTGGCAGAGGGCAGGCCCAATCCCTAGGTGCAGCCCCTGGTCGGGCTCAGAGCAGGGCCGATTGGGGAGTTGGGGCGCCGTCCCCTGTCATGCACAGAGCAGGGAGATTGGGAGGTTGTGATGCCACACTCAGTCACACTCAGGGTAGGGCCGATTGGGGGGTTGGGGCACCGCCCCCTGTCACACTCAAGGCAGGGTCGATGGGGAGGTTGCGGCGCCACCCCCTGTCACGCACAGAGCAGGGCCAATCCGGGGTTGGGACGCTGCGCCCTGTCATGCACAGAGCAGGGCCCATCAGGGGGGTTGGGGCTCCGTACCCTGTCACACACAGAGCAGGGCCCATCAGGGGTTTGGGGAGCTCCCGCGTGTCACGCACAGAGCAGGGCAGATCAGGGGGTTGGGGAGCTCCCCCCTATCATGCACAGAGCAGGGCCCATCAGGGGGTTGGGGAGCTCCCCCCTGTCACGCACAGAGCAGGGCCCATTAGGGGGTTGAGGAGCTCCCCCCGTCACTCACAGAGTAGGGCCGATAGGGGAGTTGGGGCACTGACCCTGTCACACACAGAGCAGGGTGGATCAGGGGGTTGGGACGCTGCCCTCTATCACCCACAGAGCAGGGCCGATCAGGGGGTTGGGGCGCCGCCACTGTCACACTCAGGGCAGGGCCGATGGGGAGGTTATGGCTCTACCCCATCACACACAGAGCAGGCCCTGTGGGGGCGGGGGGGGGAGGTTGGGGCACCGCCCTCTATCACCCACAGAGCAGGGCCGATCAGGGGGTTGGGGCACCGCACCCTGTCACACACAGAGCCACAGGGCGATCAGGGGGTTGGGGAGCTCCCCCGTATCAGGCACAGAGCAGGGCTGATCAGGAGGTTGGGGCGCCTTCCCCTATCACGAACAGAGCAGGGTGCATAGGGAGGTTGTGGCCCCGCCCCCCTGTCACACACAGAGCTGCAGGGCGATCAGGGGGTTTGGGCGCTGCCCCCTGTCACGCTGATCCTGGTGCCGGGAGGCCTCGCGGCTCCGCTGATCCCGGTGCTGGGAGGCATATTACCCTTTTACTATATAGGATAGAGGCCTGGTGCATGGGTGGGGCTGGCTGGTTTGCCCTGAAGGGTGTCCTGGATCAGGGTGGGGGTCCCCACTGGGGTGCTTGGCCAGCCTGGGTGAGGGGATTATGGCTGTTTGCAGCTGGTCACACACCCTTCAGGGTGGGGGTCCCCACTGGGGTGCCTGGCCAGTCTGGGTGAGGGGCTGAGGGCTGAAGCTCCCAACTGCTCCTTTTTTTCTTTTTCTTTTTCTTTTTCTTTTTTTTTTATTCTGGGCCAGCTTTAGCTCTGTTCCAGCTCTGAGGCCTCTGCTGCTGAAAGCAGATATCTGGTTTGTTTGGTTCTATAATCAAAACAATATATAACTCCAGCTCTGAGATCCTGGCGGGCTGAAAGCAGGTTTCTGGGGTTTTGTTTAGCTTCTATATTTGTTACAATGTTTCAAACTGCAGGCTCAGAGGCCAGCAAGGCAGGCGGGGAACGTTGATTTCCTCCGTCACTGAAGCAAGCAAGCCTCATGTTAGTTTCAAGATGCCTGGCTGCCGGCCGCCATCTTGGCTGGCAGTTAATTTGCATATCGCCCTGATTAGCCAATGGGAAGGGTAGCGGGCGTACACTAATTACCAGGTTTCTCTTTTATTAGATAGGATAATATACATGCATACACATTGGTCATGACTATGTATTCACATATATAAGCAGTAATTGAATAATAAAATTTTTCAAGTGTTCACCTCTTTTTAATCACCCTGAACCTTTTCTTACATTCTCTTAGATTTGGAAACACACTGAAATATTATGTGAAACAAAAAAGATTGTAAGGGGGAAATTACTTAACAATGATTTCAGTCAGATTTCATTTACCACAATTGGTTGATTCCAAACAGCTTTATAATATCTTATATAAAATATAGCCTCAAGTTTGCATGAGAACCACAGCTTGGTAGATAACCCCAGAGTCTGGGAATGAGGTGCCCCATAAATCTAAGAATCCTAATTGTGGAGAAGTAGAAGGTTCAAGAAATGGATTGTGACAAAAGAGCAAATTGAATGGGGGAATTGTGATGACAGAGTTGGAAATTCTATGGCAAAAAAGCCCTCTGTGTTGGGACTAGGAAGGGAGAGAAAGAAGTAAGATACTCAAATAGAGACAATGAGATGTAGTGGAAAGATACACACTAGTACTTTGGAATCAAATAGTCCAAGGATACAGTGTCAGGGTCTGATGTCATCTAGTTGTGAGCCTTAAGAAAACCATTCCCTCTCATTGAGTCAAGAGATCAAAATAAGTAATATATATGTAAATGCAAAAATACCCTCCCCCCCCCAAAAAAAACCCCCACAACCTCTTCTTATAACTAACTGACCACTCAGAGTACCATATACGCAATGTCTTATAAAGAATTCTAGGGAGTCACACTGTCTCTATTTCTTGCATCCTTCAGCCTGGCCTAAAAAACTCAGGAATGTAAAGCCAAAAAACCAGTCTCAACTAAGTTAAAGCATCACAATAATGAGACAATCATTTCAGACAAGTTTTTCATCAACTTTGCTAAGTTAGACAATTCTGAAAAAGGAGATATGGCAACATCAGCTCTTCTCCCTTAACATGACCTATTATTTTCCAGTTTTCAAATCAGTAGTCAAATAATGTAAAAAGGACATAAATTTTTGTATTTAGTTGAATAAAGGGCAAAGATCCAATAATCTTTATCTTAAAAAATATTTTTTAAAAAATGATTCTCTTTGGCTGCATATTAATCACCTACTCAGCTTTAAAAAATACTGAAGCCTGCGTTCTACCTCCCTGTGATTCTGATTTACTTGTTCAAGTTTTCCAGGCTATTCCTTTTTTTTAAATCCTCAACCAAAGATATTTTTTCTGACTGATTTTTAGAGAGAGCAGAAAGGAGGGAAGGAAGGAGGGAGGAGGAGCAAGGGGGAGAGAGGGGGAGAGAGGGAGTGAGAAGGAAAGAGAGAAACCATCCATGTCAGAGAGACACATCAATTGACTGCCTCCAGCACCCACCCCAACTGGGGTCAGGGATCAAATCTGCAACCCAGTTATGTGCCCTTCACTGAGAATTGAATCCTTAGGTGTGGGCTAATGCTCTAACCATCTAGCAACACTGTTCAGGGCCCAGGTTATTTCTTTTCAATTAAAATTTTTTTCCAGCTTTATCAAGAATAATCTTGCCAAAACCGGCTTGGCTCAGTGGATAGAGGGTCGGCCTGCGGACTGAAGGGTCCCAGGTTTGATTCCGGTCAAGGGCATGTACCTGGGTTGCAGGCATATCCCCAGTAGGAGATGTGCAGGAGGCAGCTGATCGATGTTTCTCTCTCATCGATGTTTCTAACTCTCTATCTCTCTCCCTTCCTCTCTGTAAAAAATCAATAAAAAATATATTAAAAAAAAGAATAATCTTATCTAATAATAGACAAACATGGTAATTAACCATACCTCCGCTACACTTCCCACTGGCTAATCAGGGTGATGTGCAAATTAACTGCCAACGAAGATGGTGGCCGGCAGCCACACAGCTGAAGCGAACAGGAGGCTTGCTTGCTCCAGTGATGGAGGAAGCCAAGGTTCCCCGCCTGCCACAGCTCAGCTCTGAACTGCACTCTAAGCAACAATGTTGCAATTATAGAAATTAACAAACCCAGAAACCTGCTTTCAGCCAGCCGACCTCGGAGCTGGAGCTGCAACAAAATTTCAATTACAGAAAGTAAATAAATCCCAGAATAAAAAAAGAAAAAAAGGAGAGGCTGGGAGCTTCAGTTGCAGGCTTGGCCCACCTGAAAATGGCTCTCAGGCCCTCATCCAGACTGGCCAGGCACCCCAGTGGGGATGCCCACCCTAAAGGGGGTGTGGCCAGCCTGAAAACAGCCCTCAGCCGCTCATCCAGGCTGGCCAGGCACCCAGTGGGGGCCCCCACCCTGAAGGGGGTGCAGGCAGCCTGAAAACAGCCATCAGCCCCTCATCCAGGCTGGCTAGGCACCCCAGTGGGGACCCCCACCCTGAAGGGGGTGTGGGGAGCCTGAAAACAGCCATCAGCCCCTCACCCAGGCTGGCCAGGCACCCAAGCGGGACCCCCACACTGATCTGGGACACCATTCAGGGCAAACCAGCTGGCCCCCACCCGTGCACCAGGCCTCTATCCTATATAGTAAAAGGGTAATATGCAAACTGACCCTAACAGCAGAAAGACTGGGAATGACTGGTCACTATGACACACACTGACCACCAGGGGGCAGACGCTCAATGCAGTAGCTGCCCTCTGGTGGTCAGTGAGCTCCCACATGGAGGAGCTCTGCTCAGCCACAAGCCAGGCTGATGGCTGCCAGTACAGTGGTGGTAGTGAGAGTCTCTCCTGCCTCCTCAGCAGTGCTAAGGACGTCAGACTGCAGGTTAGGTCTGCTCCCCGCTGGCAAGTGGACATCCCCCGAGGGCTCCTGGGCTGCCAGAGGGATGTCTGATTGCCAGCTTAGGCCCAATTCCCTGGGTAGCAGGCCTCAGCCAGCAGATGGTCATCCCCCGAGGAGTCCCAGACTGTGAGAGGTCACAGGCTGGGCTGAGGGACCTCCCCCCCCCACCGCCGAGTGCACAAATTTTTGTGCACCAGGCCTCTAGTCTATAATAATAAAAGCATAATATGCTAATTAGACCAGACAGCCGAACAACCTTCTGGAGGTCATCCTTCCAGACAAAGCCATGGTGGCAGGGGCCAAGGCAGAGGCGGTTAGGGGCAATCAGGCAGGCAGGCAGAGGCAGTTAGGGGTGATCAGGTAGGCAGGCGAGTGGTTAGGGGTGATCAGGCAGGCAGGCAGAGGCGGTTAGGGGTGATCAGGCAGGCAGGTGAGCAGTTAGGGGTGATGAGGCAGGCAGGCAAGTGGTTAGGGGCAATCAGGCAGTCAGGTGGGTGGTTAGGGCTGATGAGGCAGGCAGGCAGAGTGGTTAGGGTGATCAGGCAAACACAACCACATAGCATATAATATTTGGTTGTCTGACTCCCTCACTAAGTTACAAGCTCCATGAGGGCAAGATCATATTTGTCTGGCCTCATGATCAAAAACCCATGTCCAGCACAGTATCTAGTGTACAGAGACACCTGATAAAATATTTATTGAATGAATGAATAAAAAAGAGTAACTCAAATCATTTTCTACATTCTATTTTTTAAAGTCTAAATTTATAAATAACCTAGGAATTGAGATATTTATAAGATATTTATAATTAACCTTGCCTTTTCCTTTACTGAAATCAATGATGGTTGCTCAAAAAAGATACCTTGCCATTGTAACCATAATATTCACTTCTAGGCCATCTCTGACACTACTCCAGGTCAGATAAAAGAATGCTTCTGCTTAAATGGTAAAGGTAATAAGGGGGGCGGGGGGCAATGTGGCTCTGGAGTAGACATGTAAATCCAGATGTTGGTTCTAATGAACAATAAATCATATAATTTCTGAGTCTATGTTTGACATCTATAATATGGGATTAGTACCTATCAATAGAAAGCATCTATCTAGGATACAATATATATTAGAAAAATATTAGTTTTCCTTAAATTTGTCATATTCTTTTCTTCAAGGTCTGACTCAGATACCATTTTCTCTATCAAGCCCCAAATTCTCCAGCTAGAGGAAATTTCTCCTACTCTCTTATAGCAACTACTAGAGGCCTGGTGCACAAAATTCGTGCATGGGGGAGGGGAAGGTCCTCTCAGCCCATCCTGTACCCTCTCCAATCCGGGACCCCTCGGGGGATGTCCAACTGCCGGTTTAGGCCTGATCCTGGGTATCAGGCCTAAACTGGCAGTCGGACATCCCTCTCACAATCCAGGACCGCTGGCTCCTAACTGCTCACCTGCCTGTCTGCCTGATCGCCCCTAACCGCCTCTGCCTGCTGGCCTGATCGCCCCTCACTGCGCCCCCTGCCGGCCTGGTCACCTCCATCTGCCCCCCTGCCGGCCTAGTCACCCCCAACTGTCCCTCTGCCGGCCTTGTTGCCCCCAACTGCACCCCCTACTGGCCTGGTCACCCCCAACTGACCCCCTGCCGGCCTGGTCGTCCCACGCAGCCTACTGTTCAGTCGTTACTGTTACTGTGATGGCGTCCTGGACAATTTGCATATTCCTCTATTATTAGTATAGATAGCTATCCTTGGCTTTATAGTTCTTGTTTTTTTTGTGACCAAACCATCACCATTCCTATCAGACTAAGCTCCTATAGCTTTTTCATCTTTGAATGCCAAACTGTATTAAGTTCAATAGATGCTTGCTAAACTGAGTTTAAAACAGGTATAAGAAACCTAAGAAAAGCAAAATTTTACCATTTCTGCAGTAGATTTTTTTAAAATTTTCTAAATCTCTAGGCTTTCTAGGGCCTACTATGTGACTTGTACTTTACATATGTAATTATTAATCTTCAAAAGAATTCTGCAAGATAGGAATGATATCCATTTTATAAATAAAGAAATGTAAACTCAAAAAATGACATCATAGCTTGCTCTAGGTCAGTGATGGCGAACCTATGACACGCGTGTCAGAGGTGACACCGAACTCATTTTTTGGGTTGATTTTTCTTTTCTTTTTTTAAAAAAATATATTTTATTGATTTTTTACAGAGAGGAAGGGAGAGGGATAGAGTTAGAAATATCAATGAGAGAGAAACATCGATCAGCTGCCTCCTGCACACCTCCTACTGGGGATGTGCCCACAACCAAGGTACATGCCCTTGACTGGAATCGAACCTGGGACCCTTCAGTCCGCAGGCCGATGCTCCATCCACTGAGCCAAACCGGTTAGGGCTGGGTTGATTTTTCTTTGTTAAATGGCATTTAAATATATAAGATAAATATCAAAAATATAAATCTTTGTTTTACTATGGTTGCAAATATCAAAAAATTTCTATATGTGACACGGCACCAGAGTTAAGTTAGGGTTTTTCAAAATGCTGACACATTGGGCTCAAAAGGTTCGCCATCACTGCTGTAGGTCATAAAGTAAGCAAGCTGGGATTTTTGTTAGGACTCTGACTCTAAAGCAAGGTCTATATATTATTAGACACTCATCTTAATGGAGTCTTATATAACTAAGACATTAGACAACTTGACAAAACAATACACTTTTAAAGTCTAACCTTCAAATGCCCTTCGCCTGTGAGGAATTCAGAGTAACCAGCATCAGTGGCCAGCAAACCTACGAACTGCATACTGGGCCGTTGTTGTATAAAGGCTTCAACAGCTTTATCTGTCACATGCTTTCTCCCAGAAACGTCCAGGGAGACCAGGTTGGGTAGGATATCTTTTTGTTCTAATAATCGAAGAGCTATGTCTGATGTAAATTGCTTATCATCTGATATATCAAGATGATTCAGATATTTTAGTTCTCGAACAACATCCAGTATCTGAGTAGTTGTCATTTTTAAACATTTTAAGTGATGCATGGTTAGAGACTTGAGTCGGTCTTTGCAGGCCAGCAGAGCCGTGATGTCTGTAATTGAGGTGTTAGAAATATCCAGGCTCTCTAATCTTGGCAATGAGGCAACTTCAGCCAGGTCTTCATTGTAAAAGAGAACGTTGGTGATGCTTAACGCTCGAAGGCCAGAAAGCTGGTTGAAGCACCGCTCGTAAGGATCTTCAAGGGACAGAGTTAATGAATTCAGCACCAGGCACTGGAGATTTTGCTGGATCCATTTATTACTGCCAAGCCCGCTGATGATGTCTGTAATCGTGATGTCAGCATTCACACCTGTTGCATCAAGTTCCACTAACTTGTGATGGCAGAAGGCTTTCCGAAAAGCAACAGCAGAGATCTTGGCTTTGCGAATGCAAGCTCTCTTTAAGCGCATCTGGTTACCCCTAAAAATACCTACAGTTCCATCATTCAGGAGACCTGGAAAAAAAAAAAAAAGAGCAGCACTTCAACTTCAAAAAATGGTTAAAACTTCCAGCATTCTTTACATTTCCAAAGCACTCCCATGTGACAATGTTTCATTTAATATATATATAACAATTGAGCTAGGTAAAAATATTATCTATGATTTATAGGTGAGTAAACAAGGGCTTAGAAAAGTGACTTTCCAAGATACCAGAGCTAGCAAGTGGCAGACTCAGGACTGTGGTACACGTTACTAAAACTAACATCTGGTTCTTCTCATCTTCCTGAACACATGGACAACTACATTTCCCAGAACACCCTTGGAGTTAGATGGGGTCATGTCCCTAGTTCTGGCAAATGGGCTGTAACCTGAAGCACCTGAGACCCAGTACATAATTTTTCATTCTATCTTTTCCTGCTATATGACAAATGAGGAGCCTTCAAATTCTAGACAGTTAACCTTTATTAGAGTGGAGCTTCCATCAGCCTATGTCCTAGGGTGACCATGGAGCAGAACCCTCCATGAATTTGCAGCATTTAGGCATCATGAATGAGGTCTAAACTTTGTGTTATACTACTAGTTCTGGGGGGGTAAATTTGTTAGTAATGCATTTCTAGACTATCCCTTTAAGTCACTATAACACATTATTAAACACATATCTACATATAAATATAGTTAGCACATATGTCTATAGTTCATTATTAAACTACTAGCTAACAAGATCTAAAATATTATTAAAAGGATCGAGAGCAGTGGTTCTCAACCTTCCTAATGCCGCGACCCTTTAATACAGTTCCTCATGTTGTGGTGACCCCGCAACCGTAAAATTATTTTCCTTGCTACTTCGTAACTGTAATTTTGCTACTGTTATGAATCGTAATGTAAATATCTGATATGCAGGATGTATTTAGGCGACCCCTGTGAAAGGGTCGTTCGACCCCCAAAGGGTTGCGACCCACAGGTTGAGAACCGCTGATCTAGAGGTTATAGTCCCTCCCTGTCAGATGAACTCAAATAAAGTGAGCACAGTAACCTCTTGAAGTCCCTAAGAGATAAAAAAATAATAATAATTTGTTATACCAAGAACTAGTAAGGTTTCAAACTGAAAAAAAGAGATAATCTATAAATTCAATGTGAGATAATAAAAATGTTAAAATTATTTGACAAATATTTTAAAGGAGCCACCATAAAAAACGCTTAAGTGGGCAATTACAAACATGCTTGAAACAAATTAAAAATGGAAAGCCTCAGCAAAAAAATAAAAGACCTTAAGAAAAAACAAATGGAAATTTTAGAACTGAAAAATACAGTAATAGTTGGGTTCAACTAGAATGGAAGGAACAGAGGAAAGAATCAGTAAACTAAGAGATGAAACAATAAAAATCACTCAAATCTAAACAGAAAAAAAAATACACTGAAAAAAAAAATGATCAGAGCTATTTGTGTTATTGAATTCCCAGGAGAGGAGAAAGAGGGCAGGGTTGAAAAAGTACTAAAAGAAGTAATAGCTATAGACCTATGAGAATGCTCAAATAAAATATTGTAATAACAACAAAGGCTGGAAAGTATGTGGAGAAACTGGATCTGTCCTATATTGCAGGCAGGAGTGTAAAATGGTACTACCACACTTAAAACAGTTTGGCATTTTTCTTAAAATCTAAACATACAACTATCAAACAACCCAGTAAGAGCACTCCTGGGTATTTATCCCAGTGGATGAATGGTTATACAAACAGATGTACTTGATAACATAGACTACTACTCAGAGATAAAAAGAAATGATTGATATACATAACAATCTGGAGGAGTCTCCAGAATAAATCCCAAAAGGTTATATACTGAATGATTCCACATATATAACATTCTTGAAATGACAAAATTACGGAAATGGAGAACAGAAATGGTTGCCAGAGTTTACGGAGGGGGAAGGAGAAAGAGAGAAGTAATTGTGGCTATAAAAGAGTAACATGGCCCTTGCTGGTTTGGCTCAGTGGATAGAGCATTGGCCTGTGGACAGAGAGGTCCCAGGTTTGATTCCGCCAAGGGCACATGCTGGGGTTGTGGGCTTGATTCCCCGTAGGGGGCGTGCAGGAGGCAGCCAATCAATGATTCTCTCTCATCACTGATGTTTCTATCTCTCTCTCCCTCTCCCTTCCTCTCTGAAATCAATAAAAATATACATTAAAAAAATAAAAGGGCAGCCCTAACCAGTTTGGCTCAGTGGATAGAGCGTAGGCCTGCGGGCTCAAGGGTCCCAGGTTCGATTCCGGTCAAGGGCATGTACCTTGGTTGTGGGCACATCCCCAGTAGGAAATGTGCAGGAAGCAGCTGATTGATGTTTCTAACTCTCTATCCCTCTCCCTTCCTGTCTGTAAAAAATAAATAAAATATATATTTTTAAAAAAAGGGCAACATGAGGGATCCTTGTGGAGATGGAAATTTTGACCATATCAATGTCAATATCCTGGTTGTGATACTGTACTATGGTTTCACTACCACTGGAGGAGGATATCATCTGTATTATTTATTACAACTTCATGCGACTCAACAATTGTCTTAAAAATACAAAGTTCAAATCCAGTTTCTCTAATTTTAAAGAGATCACTGAAGAAAATTTGTAAGTGTTGACATGGAATTAAGGGAATTCCATTTCATGGTTTCAAATTTCTTGCTAAGAATAAATGACAGAAGATCTGAGAAGAGCAAAAAACATCTGAAACAATTATTAAGAGCACTACTAATGATCAGAGAAAAACTCAAGAATTCCTGGGCAGTGCTGAGGAGACTTAGCTTTATATTACTGAACTGCCTCCTCATCATTCAGGTCTCAGCCTAATTATCACCTCCTTGAAAAAGCTTTCGTTCATCATCCAAGCTAAAGTAGATGCCTTCCCCCCCCCGCCTGAAAACGATGTTCTTTTTCCCTCAGAGAATCTATCACAAGTTGTAATCCTATATGTTTATTATGTCTCTGACTGGACTATACACCCCATGCAAGCAACATTTGTGTTTAATATTGTACACTCAGCACCTGACATAGTGCCTGGCATGCAACAGGTGTTCAATAATTACCTCCTCTGGCACGTCCTTCTTAAAAATTTTATTTCTATTGAGCCTCTTCTGCACTCATTAGTAACTCCTTTCACACTAATGTTAAAGATTTCTGTTAAGAATGCTTGTAAAAAACAAAAATGGGAATAGACACTTAGTTAAGATCAATGTTTACCTTGTTTATGCCACAAATTAAATTTTCATATATTTTTAAATGTTAGTATTGTTTTTACAGCTCAAATTTCAGGCTCCTAAGTTAATTACTGATTTTAATCTTAGTGACTATCACAGTGCCTTTGGATATTGTATACATACATTTAGTAAAATGGGTTACCCCTTGATTATTTGGGTCAGTGTACATTAAGTGAATTTTTCTAATTACAAAGTTTAAGGGTCTATAATTCAAATTAATGGAATTAAAAGAGCAAAGAAATTTTAAAAAAGGAAAAAAGAGAGACTGAGATTTAGAAACCAGTCCTGTGTTTGAGTCCTGGTTCCAATATTTATTTGCTATTTGACACCAGACAAATTACTCCACAAATCTAATATTTCTAATCTGCAAAATGTGATTCCGCCAAGGGCACATGCTGGGGTTGTGGGCTTGATTCCCCATAGGGGGCGTGCAGGAGGCAGCCAATCAATGATTCTCTCTCATCACTGATGTTTCTATCTCTCTCTCCCTCTCCCTTCCTCTCTGAAATCAATAAAAATATACATTAAAAAAATAAAAGGGCAGCCCTAACCAGTTTGACTCAGTGGATAGAGTGTAGGCCTGCGGGCTCAAGGGTCCCAGGTTCGATTCCGGTCAAAGTCACTTAGTGACTATCACAGTGCCTTTGGATATTGTATACATACATTTTGTAAAATGGGTTACCCCTTGATTATTTGGGTCAGTGTACATTAAGTGAATTTTTCTAATTACAAAGTTTGGGTCTATAATTCAAATTAATGGAATTAAAAGAGCAATATTTCCTTCACAGGGATTGCTGAAAAAATGAAATAAGACAATATACATAAAAAGCACTTTGCAAATTGAAAGCACTATACAAACATCATTAACTATATTTGAAAGAAATCTTTCTAGATCTTTTCCTTCTTTCAAAAATAAATATACTGAAGAATCATTTGTCTTTTTCCATGACCAATAATTGTACTTGCTACAATGTATTTAAGCTAAATTTTCCTTTGCTGTCATTCGATCTGCTTGGATTGTAGTTGACAGCCTGCCCCTTCAGATTATCAATTCTTTTTGGTTTTGCTTTGTTAATGCTCACATGATATTTTTTTAAATTGCTTTTCAGAATAGTGGAAAGGAGAGAAAAAGAGGGAGAGAGAGAGAGAAAGAGAGACAGAGATCAATGTAAGGGACACATCGATTGGTTGCCTCCCACAGGTGCCCCTACCCAGGCTGGGGATGGAACCTGCAATTCAGGTACTTGCCCTTGACCAGGAATCAAACCTCAGACCCTTACTGAACAGCCGACGCTCTGACCACTGAGCCATGCCATCCAGGGCAGATGATCAATTCTTAATTTTCCAGGGTCAAAGAATCAATGTTCTAAATGAGGGTTCCTCAATGAGTTCTTTCAATGAATAAAATACAGAAGCATTAATGCAAGGAATTTGCCCCAAAGCATTTTTTATTTCTTTCTGCTTTAGTCTATGGATAGCTGAGGTAACCAGCAATATGACTTCCAGATAAATGGGGTATTCATCTGGGACTATAAACCCTCAATCATTTAGAAAGTCTATTTAGTTATTCAAGGATGTAATCCATGTTTCAAAGGTTTCAATTTAATCCCATACCTGAACATGTCACAGTGTATCAATTTAGGTAAGGTAGGCAGTATAACACAGACACATTAACATTAGATGGCAAAATTCTTATTCTGATTCACAGCTCACAAGTGCACATTTCCTGGAAAATTTTGAGCACTGAGACACAGATAGAATGAACAGAAAT